ACAACACTGAGGTTACTGGCAGTGGAACGTGCTGAGACACATTACAGTACACAGTACAGTGTGTTAATGTTTCAATAAGACATAGCTGGACACAACACTGAGGTTACTGGCAGTGGAACATTGCTGAGACACATTACAGTACAGTACAGTGTGTTAATGTTTCAACAAGACATAGCTGGACACAACACACTGAGGTTACTGGCGGTGGAACATTACTGAGACACATTACAGTACAGAGTACGGTGTGTTAATGTTTCCAACAAGACATAGCTGGACACAACACTGAAAAGAGGTTACTGGCAGTGGAACGTACTGAGACACATTCAAGTACAGTACAGTGTGTTAATGTTTCAACAAGACATAGCTGGACTATACTGGGGAAGTAACTGGCAGTGGAACATTACTGAGACACATTGCAGTACAGTACAGTGTGTTAAATGTTTCAACAAGAACATGGCTGGACACAACACTGAGAGTAACTGGCAGTGGAGACATTACTGAGACACATTACAGTACAGTACGGTGTGTTAATGTTTCAACAAGACATGGCTGGACTGTACTGAGGTTACTGGCAGTGAGACATTGCTGAGACACATTGCAGTACAGTACAGTGTGTTAATGTTTCAACAAGACATAGCTGGACACAACACTGAGGTTGCAGCAGTGGAACATTACTGAGACACATTACAGTACAGTACAGTGTGTTAATGTTTCCATAAGACATGGCTGGACACAACACTGAGGTTACGCAGGTGGAACATTACAGAGACACATTACAGTACAGAAAGTACAGTGTGTTAATGTTTCAGCAAGACATAGCTGGACTGCCACTGGGGGTTACTGGCAGTGGAACATTGCTGAGACACATTACCATTTGTGCAGTGTGTTGAAAATAGCTCAACAAGACATAGCTGGACACAACACTGAGGTTACTGGCAGTGGAACATTACTGAACGCATTACTGTTGCAGTACAGTGTGTTAATGTTTCAACAAGAACATGGCTGGACACAACACTGAGGTTGCTGGCAGTGGAACATTGCTGAGACACATTACAGTACAGTACAGTGTGTTAATGTTTCAACAAGACATAACTGGACACAACACTGAAGGGTTGCAGCAGTGGAACATTGCTGAGACACATTACAGTACAGAGTACAGTGTGTTAATGTTTCAACAAGACATAGCTGGACACAACACTTTAGAGTTGCTGGCAGTGGAACATTACTGAGACACATTGCAGTACAGTACAGTGTGTTAATGTTTCAACAAGACGCAGCTGGACACAACACTGAGTTACTGGCAGTGGAGACATTATACTGAAGACACATTATAGTACCAGTACAGTGTGTTAATGTTTCAACAAGACATAGCTGGACACAACACTGAGGTTACTGGCAGTGGAGACATTACTGAGACACATTACAGTACAGTACAGTGTGTTAATGTTTCAACAAAGACATAACTGGACTGCTGCCCTAGGGTTACTAGCAGTGGAACATTACACTGAGACACATTACAGTACAGTGTTAATGTTTCAACAAGACATAGCTGGACACAACACACAAGTTTACTGGCAGTGGAACATTACTGGGGCTACATTATTTTGTGATTACGGTGTGTTAATGTTTTTTCCAGCAAGACATAGCTGGACACAACACTATGAGGTTACTGGCAGTGGAACATTACTGAGACACGTACGAGAGTACAGTACAGGTGTGTTAATGTTTTTCAACAAGACATAGCTGGACACAACACTGAGGTTACTGGCGGTGGAACATTACTGAGAGACACATTATGGCGCAGTACAGTGGTGTGTTTCAACAAGACATAGCTGGACACAACACTGAGGTTACTGGCAGTGGAACATTACTGAGACACATTACGGTGCAGTACAGTGTGTTAATGTT